CTCCAGGACCCAGTTGTACTGGTCCACTTGCTGTTCCTTGCTCACAACACTCTTGGTGCCTCTGCAATTGTTCTCCCTCATGCCTTGAATGCTTTCCCTCTTCACCTTCACCTCTTAGCTCAAAGTGGAGCTTTCTTCAAGCCTCAGCTCAAATCCTACCTTTTATAGGAGGCCGGCCCCATCCTCTTAGGTACTAATGACTTCCCCATGCGATTACCTTCCATCTACTCTGTATATATCTTGTATGTTGCTAATAACAATTATTTACATGTTGTTCTCCCCATTAGAATGTGAGCTCCTTCAAGGCGGGGACTGTTTTTGCTTCCTATGTATGCCCAGCACTTAGCACAATGCCTAGCACATAGTAAGTGCTTAATAAATGTTTATTGACTGAGTGAATATAAAAATGTTACTGTTATTATTTGATTCTAGAATTGAATTGCACGTCATAGATTGGTCAAAGTCCTACAGAAGATTGGAGGGGGACAGACTTACAGTATGAATGGAGAAGTTAGCCTTGACCAGGAGACTGAGACTAGAGGGGAGACTGAAAGGATGGATCAAAGACTCAAAAAGCATTTATTAAATGCCTACTATGTGCCAGGCACTGTGCTAAACACTGAAAGATAAAAAAGACAAAACACAGTCCCATTCAAGGAGAGACTCACATTCTAATGAAGGAGACAACATTAAAACACAAACAAGGCATATACCTATCTCATTTGTTGTTTTCATGTTGTCTTTTCACATTCATGTCATATCTTTTATATCTATCTTGTTGAATATATACACACAATATATATTCATACATACTCCAGATAAATGGGAGGTAATTGACAGAGGGAAGGTACTACTAGCATGTGAGGCATAGATGAATGGTCAATCTGAACTTTAGGAAGATTGCTTTGACAGCTGAGTGGAGGATGGGCTGGAGAAGGGGAAAGACTTGTGGGTGGCAGACCCACAGAGACAGACAGTCCAGGGATGAGGGGATGTGAGCTTGCGGGGGCTAAGGCCTATCAGTTGGTGTTATCTCTAGGCTTTGTCAGCCTAATCTAGATATGAGGTAGGCTATGAGAAAAGGCCTCAGTAACCCTGGTCCTCTTTACTCAAATAGGTAGGAAGATTGGAGATGGCCTGTTTTGGGTGCTAATGTTTGAAGGAGATAATGTATCAGGTTAGCATTAGTGCAGGCTTTAAGACTTCAGGGCAAAAGGCAAACAAGGCTTTAAAAAATAATAAACTTAATAAAGCCTAAATAAAATAGGCATTTCCATATACATAGTACAAAAAGAAGAATGCATATTAAATGGCAAATATCTATTATATATAGCTTTCTTTCTTTTTTTAAAAGTATATAATAAATTCAACATATACCTTTCAAAGCCTGTCTGTGGATCTTCTTGCTCTTTCTTCTGTTACCTTCTACACATTTAAAAACACTTCAGTGAGGCTCTTTCTTTGGCCACTCTATCCTTTTGCCCCTCCTCTTCCTATCACTTGAGAAAGAAAGAAAATTTTTAAAAGGACAAAAAATAAAAACCTTTGTAACAAAGATGCATAATCAAGCAAAAGACATTTCCATACTGACCATATCAGAAAATGTCTTATTGTGTATGTTCAGTCAGTTGCATCTGTCAGGAGGTTTATAACATGCACAGCAAAGCTTCTTATATGATACAGTGACCCTTCTCCAGGTGGTTTAAGAAATATTCCTCCTTACATTTCTTTTTCTTACAGGACAGGGAGTTACGTGGTATATCTTAACTGGTAAGGGGATTGGGGCAGAGCAGGCTGTCCTGGTTTGTATTGCTTCATCTCAACTACTGAACTTAATTAATTGTCTTTTCTAAGTCCCGATTCTCTCTGAATCCTTTTGCAGATTTTGGTACTGCACACTCCCCCTTCCTGTTGGATACTCTCTCTTCTCTTAACTTCTAGTAGATTTCTTTCTCTTGTTTCTCTACTTGTATGACAATTTGATCAGTCTCCTTTCGTTTTTCACCCACCTCCTGAACTCGAAACATAGCTGTTCTCTCAGGCTTAGTCTTGGGCCCTCTTTACTCCTTGCCTCACTTTCTACTTTGGCAGTTGTCTATTTGGTTGATGATTATCTCTGTGCAAATGGTTTGGAAATCTATAGATTCACCCCTCTTTCCTGAATCTTAATGCCATATCACTCACACCCAGGGGGACATCTCCATCCAGATATTACATGGGATCTAAAACTCAGTATGTTTACTATGGAACTGATCATTTCTCCTCTAAACCTATTCCTCCAAATTTTCCTAATTCTTTTGAAAAAAAAATTGATGCCTTTTGTCTTTCAATCACAATTATTTTTCATTCCCTTCAGATTGAAACTTCCTTCATGATAAAGAAAAACAAAGTAGCAAAAATAACTAATACAGCAATCTCATCTGCCAATGTATCTAATATTATATTCTAGGAGTATCCCACTTTCTCGCTGTGAAGGAATGGCTATGTTTCATTACCTCTACACTGAGACCATCATTGTTTTTTCTGTTCCTTAGAGTTAACTTCATTTTAGTGGTTCACTCATTGATACTGTAGTCAGAGTGCCATGCCATATGATAGCATTTCCCAATAGTGAGATAGCTGGATCAAAGGATATGGACAACATAATCACTTTCTTTGATTAATTTCAAATTGATATCTGGAATAGTTGTTAGTACTTTGTAGCTCAACCAACAGCACAGCAGTATGCATGTGTTTCCATGATCCTTCCAAAATTAACTGCCTCTTTCTTTTTTTAAATCTTTGCCAATTTTCATGCTATGAAGTGAAACACCAGAGTTGTTCAATTTGCATTTCTCTTACTGTTAGTTATCTGGAACCTGGTTTCTTGTAGTCATTAATAGTTTGAAATTCTGCTTTGAAAAACTTTTCATTTTCTTTGACCATTTACCTTTGGGGGACTTATGCATTTTGCCAATTCTTTGTATATCTCCCTGTTTCTTTTGGGGGCACATCATGTTCTCACTCACCCAGCATCATAACCTTGGAGTCATTCTTGAATCTTCCCACTTCCTCAGCCTAATCCCACCCCATCAGTTGGTTATGAACAAGTCCTTGAATCAATCTCCTCTTCATCACTCACCCAACCACTGCTCTAGTTCAGGCCTTCATCACATCTGATCTAAAATATTGAAATCACTCCTTAATTTGTTTTCCTTTTCCCATTCACTTGCCTCACCAATCTTTTCCACACTGGTACAACCTTCCTCAGGAACAGGTTCAGGCATGCCATTGCCCTTAAAAAGTCTTCCTGGATCTCCATTGCTTCTAAAATAAAATGCAAACACCTCAGGCTGGCACTCAAGGCCCTCTATAACCTGGCTCCAACTTATGTCTCTGGTCTTATTTTACATACACCCTCTACATCCCAGCCAAACAACTCCTGGCTATTTCAGAACTTAGTGTTTTATCATCAACCTCTCAGCCTTAACGTGAACCATCTTTCATGCCTGTAACGTTCTCCTTCCTCAACAGCTCTCCTTAGACTCATTGTCTTCCTCCAAAGCTCAGCTCAGGTGTTGTTGCCTTCATGAATCCTTCTCTTCCTGCTCAAATCATCTTCTAGTTACCTCTCTGAGTACATGCAGTATACTTCCAGTACAATGGACACTTCTGGAGGCTACAGGCTGTTTTCTTTCTTTCTTTGTATTCCCATCACCTAGCATAGTGTTTACATGGCAGATAATTCATTAGGGCTCGCTGATGTGATAGGACAACACTGTGTCTGGAAAGCTGAGGCAGCTTTGTCTTTTCATGGTTGCGCTGAAATGAACCGGTGTTAGGGGAGAGGCTTGAGGAAGGGAAATATTTAGAATGGTATTTTAATAGTTTAGGTAAGAGGCAACAACGGATTGGACTACAGTGGTGCAAAGATGAAAGGGAAGTTGGATGGCAGAAACATTTCAGAAATAGAATGGGCTAATCTCATGTGAGGTGCAAGGGAGAGGGAGGAGCCAAAGACAGCTGTGAGGTTTTGAGCCTAGAAAATGGGAAAATGGTAGTATCATTAACAGTGATGAGGATATCAAACAGAGAAGCACTTTGAGGGAGGAGGAAAGTACTTTAGTTTGCATATCTTTGTAACATTACATCCCATAGAGGTAGTTTAGTTACAGGCACCCTTTTCTTCTGTCTCCCTCTTACAACCCTAAAAATCCATTGAAGTGAAGTTCTCCAACTTCTGATTTTTCTACTTGTTAACTGATGGGCAGGAGGTTACCTTATTTGTGAGTATGATAAAAGACGTGCAAGAGACTGTGAATGATCTGTGTACGTCTGATAGGATTTGAGAAAATTTTAATTATTTCAGAAATTAAAATGAGAATTTTAAGTAGGGCAAACTAAAAACGGGAGTTTAAATTCATGAGTGGTGACAATAATACAATTTTAGACAGTCAGCCATCTCCTTAAAGGCAAGGCATCTTGGCATTCTGTAGCTACAGATCTTGTCTATGTTGCCCTCCAAATAATAAGCACTTTGTAACCGCATCATTCTTTTAAATTTTCAAAATACTTAAACACCTCTAATCTAATTTTATTTTCATGACAGCCTCCTAACAAATAGGGGTAAAGGTAACTGCTGTGTTCTCAAGAGAACAGCAGCAGTCACGACTGAACTGAAGGTTAGACTCTAGTGGGCTCACTCTCACAGATGTTTCACCATCCTTCCAATGTGATAAATGGTTAAGTCTTTGGTGACTGAGTTTTGTCACTTCAATAAGTATAATATTTCATTATTAGTACTATTACTACTAGGGATTAAAATTTTATTTTTCTTTAAAATACTTATTCGTTCACAACTTGAGTTTTGTAGGCCTTTTACGTTCTGGACCTGTGGTCCCATGATAATTTTGATGACCACACAAAATTTTGTCAAAAAAAGAAAACACTATTTTTATTTTTGCAAACTATTTCTAGAATGAAATACTTCCTACATGATTCAATGAAAACAAATACAATTGGACAATGCAATCTATTACTTTATTAACAGCCTATGCTTAACTTATGATGCTTCATTATGTATTTGTTTACAAAGCAAATTATCCACTAACTTCTACAAAAGACAATAAAATATCTTGTAGCCTTGTTAAGAGAAAAAATATTCTCAGTATTTCTTCCTCCTAAAACCTCAACATTATAGATCCTGAGAATCTGCTGGTTCCTCTGTGTACTTAAGTCAATTTGTATGTTCTCAGCTTGTTCAGATTTCTAATGTACTGGAAGGAAAATCATTTTTAACTTTGCATTGATTTATGGTAACATTTGTATTCAGCAATCAAATGCTACACTATTTCCTTTTAAATGGTTATGCACCTAATTAATTTCACTTGTTTGACAATTAATTAGTTTCACAGATTCCTATTTTTTTTGTATTGAACCTGACTATTGATAGTTGGAATACTGTATCAGATTACAATTCATGTTTTTCCAATCATACAACATAAAAAAAACTTTTTGTATTTTTAAAAACAGCCCATTGCAATATCATCCAACAGCTTTCATAAATTTAATATAGTCTTCAACTAGTTTCTTCTTCTCATTTATTTTTTCCATTATTGCTTCTAATAAACATGCAGCAAATGGAAACTGGAAAAGAAACAGAGAAAGAAAAATGATTGTTAAAATTCTATATTTTCTTCAGTTAAAAAAACAAACTAAATATCAGCAAGCCATCCGATTTCATTCAGTTATTTCTGACAACTTTGCACATATTCCTTTACCTTCCTCTGATCTCTTTAAAACTGATTTTTCTTGTTAGTGTGGGTAATTTTGTCCTTTATAATAAAAATGATAAAACAGCAGAAGTAAAATGAAAAAAGATAAAAGCCTTATTGAACAATTCATGGTTTACTGACCATGTTAATGATATAATCTGCAATACAAGGAGCTTTGCCATTTATCTTCAATCAGCTGATCAATAATAGGTTATAGTCATCTCTAGGGCCCACAAGCCTGTGAAAGTAGTACTGTTAGTTCATCACTCATATAAGAAGGAGAGGGAACTATCAATATACTTGCCTGTGTTACAGGGGAAGATCTCAACAATTGTTCAGTGAAACTTTGTGTAAAAAAATGAGGAAAATATATCCATTGATTTGGATGTTAGAGAAAAGTTTGTTGGGAGTATCCAAGTATAATAGACATGTTGCAGGCTGCTGAGTTTATATACTGAAGAGTAAGGATTTGGTGAGCTTTGAAATTTATATAGTTTTTTGTAAATTAATCAAAATTTTGTCCCCTGTGCCTTACAAAGCTGTTTAAAGAACTTTTAGTCCCACCAAGACTGAAATTTCCCCTGCAATTCCCTTTCCCTCCCCTCCTCTCAGGGACACTCTTGTTCTTATCATTGGCCAAAGGAAATGATTCTTCTTAGGATATAGAAGTTTTTCCTCTCTCTTATCTGAAACTTACCACTAAGGAAATAATGAGCTAATACTTATAAAGAATTCTATTAAAAATGTTAAAGCTTCTAGAGAAATACATGGCAATCCATTTAGCTCTCTATCTTGTCCAGTGGTCTTGTTCTGGGGTTGATACAGGCTGCCTCCAAGAAAACCACCAGTTATGGAGTGCCAGTGAAGTGACATCAGGATACAGAGATTTGGGACTGGAAGTGACCTCAGGATCATCTAGTTTACCCTCTCACTCTGACAGCTGACAAAACTGAGGTCCTGAAAAGTCAGGAGTGAATTGGGAAGTAGAAAAGCATAGATTCAAACCCAGGTCCTTGGACTCCAAATGCAGGACTCTTGCCACTACACAACTTAGTATATGTAGTCTTGTGTCCTTAAAAAGTAGGTAGGAGCAGAGTGATCAGCATTTCCTATAAGGGAAAGCTGAAGCAAAAAAAGGGATTTGCTCAGGTTTTTTACGGAATTAGTGAGATCCGATTAGACTCTGGATCTTACATATCTAGTGACTCCACAATATAGAATGAATGGCTTCATTTTATACAATGTTTTCCTTATACTTTAAGGGTTTGTATATAAATTAAGGTGAATGCACTTTTCTGAGTAGGTGAAATATAAAAAGTAAATACATTTTTTTCTAACTGAGGTTCATTATCAAATTAGGGGATTTAATTTTTTCTGATGCTATTTTAATTACAAACCTTCCTTACATTTCACTAGTCAGATGATGTAACAGTTCATGCCATCTGTTCCAAATTAATTTGCGATCTATATTTATTGGTTCTAGCCTATAAAACTTGCTTCACTTTTTGAAGTGAAAAAGTAAATTCGTTTGATGGATGACATTTTACATGCTTTGATTAGTAAGGGTAAAATAAGAATAAAACAATGTGAGGAAAATATATTACAAAAATATTCAAGTATGCTTTAAGCTTATTTTCATACTGTATATCAGAAACATTCCCAGCTTACTAAAGTTAATTCCTCTTTGAATTTGGAAATAAACTATTTTGCTTATGTAATTTCCAGTGTAAAAAAATACACATTATTGACATGAAAAATGTGAGATGTTTTTTCTTTAAAATATATAATTTTCAATGACAAAATTCAGAATTCTAATTTTTATGGGAAAAGCTAACTCTAAACCTAAGCATATATCTTTGGGATGCTTAGAATCACATAGTTCTTGAATTGTTTATAAGTATTAAACTGATCCTACTAAATTATTTCTAAGATATAAAAATGGTCTTGATATTTAAACCAGGGAGAGCTATAACAGAGAAAGAAAACTATAGACCAATTTCCTTAATGAATATTGATGCAAAAACTTTAAATAATATATCAGCAAAGAGTTTATAGAACATATCAAAAAGATTGTGCACCATTACCAGGTTTTATTTATATCAGTGTTAGAGCAGAATTAGTTCAATATTAGGAGAACTGTCAACATAACAGTCTACGTTAACAATGAAACTAGTAAAAGTCATATGATCATATTGACAGATGCAGAAAAAGCTTTTGAGAAAATACAACTATTTCTATTTAAAATCCTAAAAAACATAGAAATAAATGGATCTCTCCTTAACAGGATAAGTAGTATTTATCTAAAGCTAAAAATCAACTTATATGTAATGGGGATAAACTAGAGAGCTTTTGAAATAAGATCAGGGGTAAAGCAAGGATGTCCTTTATCTTATAAAATCTAACAACAAAACAATAAAAGGAAGTGAAAGGAATAAACACAGCCGAAGAGGAAATAAAATTGTTACTTTTGCCAATGATAAGATGCTTTACTTAGAGGATACCAGAGAACCAACTAAAATTAATCAAAATAATAATTTTAGCAAAGGAGCAAAATACAAAATGAATGCACATAAATTATAAACATTTCTGAATATAGCCAACAAAATACAAGACTAAGTGAAAGAAAGGAAAGTGCATAAAATATTTGATAGTCTATCTACCATGATATACACAGGAATTATATGAAATCAACTACAGAATACTTTATGGAAATAAACGCATACTAAGTTACTTGAGAAACATTAATTGTTCATGGGTAAACCAAGTTAATATCATAAAAATGATAATACTATCTACATTAATTTATTCAATACCATACTAATCAAACTACCAAAGGATTTCATTATAGAGCTAGAAAAAATAACAGAATTCATCTGTTAAGGTTAAGAATTTCAAGGAAAATAATGAAAAAAAAAAAGAGAAGGGAAGGCACCAAGCAGAAACAGATCTTAAACTATACTAGAAAGCAGTAATCATTAAAACAGTTTGGTATTAGTTAAGAAATAAAGAGGTTAAGCAGTAGAAGAAATTAGGACTATAACATACAAAAGCAAATAAACAACTCATCTAATGTTTGATAAACCCAAAGACTCCAGGTACTGGGGTAAGGACACACTACTGGACAAAAACTGTTGCGAAAACTGGAAAGCAGTATGGCTGAAATTAGGTTTAGAGAAACACCACGTATCAAAATAAGCTCCAAATTGATACATGACAAATACAAAAGGTCACATCATAAACAAACTGGGGGAGCAAGGAAGAAATTAGTTCTGACATCTATGGACATGACCAAATAACAAACACAGAGGATCAGAGTAGATAAAATAGATATTTTTGATCGTTGTTGTCGTGTAGTCATGTCTGACTCTTTGTGAACCCGTTTTGTCATTTTCTTGACATAGATACTAGAAGGATTTGCTATTTACCTCTCTAGCTCATTTTATAGATGAGGAAAGTGAGTCAAAGAGGGTTCAGTGACTTGCTCAGAGTCACACATCTAATAAATGTGTGAGGCTAGATTTGAACTCAGGTCTTCATGACTCCAGGCCTGGTGCTTTATCCACTGGACCACCTAGTCACCTTTTCAACAAACAAAACCAGTGAAGCTATGATTGATTAGAAGGAAAATAGTTAACTAGGGGAAATATCCTTGCAGTACATTTCTCTGCTAGAAGTCTTATTTCCAAGATCTATAAGGAAACTGATTCAAATGTATAAGAATAAGATATTCCTCAAGTGAAAAATGGTCCAAAAATATAAACAGGAAGTTCTCAAAAGAAGATATGCAGGATTAAAATAGGCATAAGAAAAAAAAATTCTCCAAATCACAAGTAGAGATATGAAAATTAAAACAACTCTGTGGTTCTACTTCAAGACATGTTAGAATGGTGAAGTTGATATTAAAGGAAAATGATGAATTTTGGTGAAGTTGTGAAAAAATAATATTAGAACTGTCAACTCTAGTACTGTCAATTTGTCCTGTCATTCTGGAAAATCATTTGGAATATTCCTGAAAAGTTATAAACTGTGCATACCCTTTGACTCAGTCATACTGTTACTAAGCCTTGTCTCAAAGATCAAAGAAGGTGGAAAATAACCCATAGGCACAAAAAATATTTGTAGCAGTTCTTTTTACAAAAAGAACTGGAAACTAATGGAGTACCCATCAATTGGGAAATGACTAAATAAGTTATAGTATATGAATGTAATAAAATATTAATTTGCCCTAAGAAATGATGAAGGGGACAGTTTCAGGAAAAAAAAACAAATTGGGAATACATAAATGAACTGATGCAGACTGAAGAAGGAAGAACCAGTAGAACAATTTATACAATAAAAATAAAAATACAAAAATGAACAACTTTGAAAGATTTACCTCTTATCAATACAATAACCAACCATGATTCCAGAGGACCTATAATGCAGAAGGTTATCTAGCTCCTGAAAGAATGGTGATGGACTCAATTTGAAGAATGAGACATGTATTTATGGACATAAACAATGTGAGAATTTGTCTTGCTTTACTATACATATGTTACAAGGGTTTTATTTATTTATTTTTAGTAGCAGGGAGAAGTGAGAGGAAAATAAAATAAATACTTATTAGTTAAAAAAATAATGCAAGCTATATGCCCAATGGCCAATAAGTGGAAATACTACTGAAGGAACTAAACCACTAATATTGACATTTACAATATTAATGAAACCAGAAGACACAAGGAAGTTACAGATAAATGAAAGGATGGTTCACAAGTTCTCATTAGAGTGGCAAATAAAAGAGTTGCTCCAAAGCAACAGGATAAGGAAAGGAAATATACCTGTCATTTCATTGATATAGGGAATTCAAAGATGAGGTAAATCCTCCACCCATGC